CGGACCCTTCCCACCCTCTTGGCCTTCCGGAAAGCCACTAAAACCTGGCTGTTCCGGCAGGCCTGGGGCTGTTGACCCCAAAATATGGTCCAGCCCCACTCAAAATGGAGTGCATGATGTGTTTTTAAATCTATCTTCTCTTTCTTCTTCTTCTTTTTTGATTTATTGTATTGTTAGCCGCCCGGAGTCCCACAGGATTGGGCGGCATACAAATGTTATTAAACTTCAAACTCTGCTTTGGAGCATATCACTTTTCCCCTTCATTTTTAATAACATGAAATTGAATTTATTCTCTCTCTCACTCTCAGCATCTTCTAGGTTAGGACGTGCTTTGGCCGAATTATTTGGGTTGCTGGTCAAATTGTGTGTTGGTTCCCCGGTAAGACAACGTAGGAGCCATCACGCTGCTAGCACCACTACTGCTCCCACTCCTGCTGCTCGCTCAACAGCTTCAGCACTCACCAAACTACTCACCAAGGGGCTTTCCTGGCAACCCCCACCATATACACCCACACCTCGCTTCCGGTAAGACCCGCTGACCACAAATTCAGGCTCATCCCACAGTGTTTGCGGGAAGGGGAAAGCTTATCCTAGACTTCATATACATTAATACTTTGCTACGTTTTGCAAAGATTTGAGAAATCAGCATCCCTGTTTTGAGTTTACTTGATTAACAGAATTGTTTTTGCTTTTAGTTTGACTTTTTTCATCTGTTCTGTCGGTTTCACCTCACCAATGCTGTTTGATGAGAGGAAATATCCCTACCACCTGATGCTGCAAAAATTCTTATGCTCTGGAGGCCATAATGCTCTTTTTGAGTAAGTTGCATGCTGGTTTATTTGGACTCTTGAAATATTTCATTAGCTAATCATGATCTTTGAAATTCAAACATGGGTGATTCCTTACTGCACCTGGAATGAAACAGGCAATAAATAGAATGCAGAGCAAAGTTGTTGCATCTAGAATGAGTCCAGTACATTTTTGTTTAATCAATTTAAAAGGTAACAATCTATGGCATCTTGGTAGATTTTAGATAAGAATATGCCTCACAGAAAAGCTGCTGAAAGTTCCACTGTCCTTGTCGAGTTTCTCAAGTGGAACAAGTACGGCTTATGAGCCAATTGATAACAAAGTTTGATGGAGGCAAGCGTTGAGTTAACCATAATCCTTTGAAAGGATTATGGTAGTAGATGTAGTTTTTCTGGGTCAAAAAATACCATCCAAATAAAAGAAAACAGCTGTCAAATATCAAATGAATGCAATATTTATGCTAATCGGATTCCATGTTTGGAAAGAATATTGGAAAAAGTATCTCTTCGTAAGACAAGGAAAGAATTTAGAGAGGAAAGAAAGATCTTTGTGCAGAATGAGTTTGTCTAAAAGACCAGATAAAACTCATCACAGTGTGGCCATCAGAGTTCTCTGGAACAACTTAACATAGACCATGGCAACAATTGCAGAAGACTTCATTATTGCAAATGATGCATTGCCATCAGCTTGAATTGTTTGGAAGCTAACTGCGCCCAGAGATTAATTGCATGAAAGGGTGGTATGAGATTGGACAACTAAATATTGAAAAATAATTAAGAAAATGTTTAACCACTGGGTGAAGAAACACAACATTTCATCAAACTATGAAAGGCTGAAGTTACCTTTTAATTGAACTTTAAAGGTCAACCAAAAAACACCAATTAGGAAAGCAGAAAGTCTAAAAACTGTATTAAACTAAGAGATTTTTTCCCCTCTTGGCTTGAGAATGGAAGACTTTTAAGACACAGCTAAAATCCCAATTGTTTCTTCTGAGAATCCACTATCCAGTTGATCTTCCAAACAATGAGGATTTGGATATTTGAGTAGATCTTTGACTTTTTCATCATCAGTGAGATCTAGAGAATAATTGTAAGATGAAGAAATTGATGAAAATAGCAAGAACATATGTGTCAGAGTTTGTTGCATAAATTCAAATCCAGAAGCACACACACATAACTGATGCAGCAAGATTCATTAACTTCTTTCTATACATAAGAATAGATGAATAAATGTATAATACCAAGAGGTGGTTCTTCCAAGTAAACACAAGGCAGGAGAGTTACAGGCAAACACAAGCAGTTAGTTTCATTTCAGCAGACAAGCCGAGACGCACTGCTAGTTTACTTCTTAGAGCAGCAGACTGCTTACTTAAGTTTCTGTTTCAATTCTCTGCACAGACTCAGATCTGTTTAAGCTCCCATTGGCTGACTTAGTTGCTATGCCTATACATTGGCTGACCTTGTTCCCATGTCTCTCCCAGTCATGAATATTTTAACACAATGTCTACTTCCATAATGCAATCCACAGAAATATGGTTTAGTATGAAAACATGACTAGACCACAAGTACTAAAACAAGCTTGAAGAGCATTAACATTGAGATGGAGAACATAAACAAGATCTATCCTAAATACTCTGATCCAAGAGAGTTTTGTTATATATTTCTTGACTTTGAAATGGTTCCCAAATCTGTAGTAACACAGTCGGAACAGGTATTGGAGAGCCTCGCATAGGCAGAAGGTCTGATTGTCATGAGTTGAGTATACAATTTGAGAAGAAGAAAGAATGCTTGGCATTGTGTTGACAGTTGGCATTGTGTGGATTGTCCTTTTATTCAGGTTGAGCTGATTCTTAGCTTTAGAAAGGCATCCTACGGTCCAACACTCGCCATCCAGTGGTCTTGTGGACATCAGAGGAGCTAATGAATCTGACAGGGCAGTAATTGCTGGCTTAGAATGACAAGTGCATGATGGAATGTGGGAATAATTGAGAATAATGGATCCTTCAGCTCTGGAGCAGCCACAGAATTAACTGCATCGATTGCTTGTTTCAGAAAGACATTCTCATTTCTTTGTGGAACAAGAGTAAACAGGAACTGGCCATCTATTAATGGAAACCTATTGCAACAATTCTTGTCCTAGATAAGATCCACAGAGTTGATACATGAACTAGAAAGGGGAAATCTCTTGAAAGAGGTGGAATACTTTAGAAAAATGTATGATGTGATGATTGGAATAAAAAATTATCTTTAAATTCACTTTGTATAGTTACTGCCTTGGCCCAAATCCTTACATTTCAACCGCACAACATTATAGGGAATTAAAGCCTACTCCATTCTGGGCTCCTGAATGTGGCAACAAAAGACATTTATCAGCAATTATTTATGATGATCAGTAATAATTATGATCTAGAAAAGATTCATTCAGGTCAGATATAACCTTAGTGGGATTATGTAGGGAAAAAATAAGAACTGAATGCTTAATGGCTATAATCACTTCACATCTCACCTACCCAGGACTTTCAACTGGGCCCTTTCTATGGGAGGCAAAGTTCCAGTTGCTGAAGGATTGGAACACCCAGATTTGCCTGATGGCACAGGCGAGTTCCTGGATGCCTGGCTCATGTTGGTGGAGAAAATGGTGAATCCTACCACGGTGCTGGAATCTCCCCATTCCTTGCCTGTGAAGCTACCAGGTGGGCAGAACTACCTGCAATTCAGTGCTTTGCGTTTTCTTGTGGTAACACAGAAGGTGAGTAGTTGCAGTTTCTTTCTCCTTTTTTTTTTCTTTTTCAGATAAAACAAAGGTTATATGGAAGTGAAATATGTAGAACTATATATGCTGTCACTCCAGCTGCTGCAGGAATGTGATTTTATTAAAGGAAAAGCTCTTTGTGATCAGTCTAAACAATCTGTTATCTTGTGGCATATGACAGCTGGTCTGTCTTGTTTTGCTGTTTGAAAAGTTACTGAAATCCTAACTTATTAGCATTTAATGTTCATACGTACCCCTTGTATGATTGTATCTTATTCTTTTCTTAGAGTGTAGAATGCACTACTATGTGATGCATTCTAACCTCTCCCTCTTTATAAGTGATTTTGTGTCTAGAAGCTGCAAAATTCAATCATTTCTGACTTTCCAAGGAGGAGACCCCATGGTAGAGCTACCTTTGCTAGCTTGTCTCCTCTGTTGTGCAGGCAGCCTTCACTTGCATCAAAAACCTATGGAACCGTAAGCCCCTGAAAGTATACGGAGGACGCATGGCAGAGTCCATGTTGGCTATCCTGTGTCACATCCTGCGTGGAGAACCAGTTATCCGTGAGCGTCTTGGCAAGGAGAAAGAGGGAGCCCGTAGTGAGGAAGAATCAGGGCAAGAAGAAGGTGGTGCCCGAAGGGAGCCACAAGTGAACCAGCAGCAGCTTCAGCAGGTAGAAATCATTCCATTATTATTCTAGTGCTTTGCAAAAGTTGCATTCTTGGTTGAAGCCCTTTTCTTTGGGGGATGTAGTTGGCTTTTAAACTGAGTCTTCTGGTTGTCTTCTGCTTGCATATCCAATCCCTTTATGAAGTTTTCTGCCTCTGCCTATTTTCAGCTGATGGACATGGGCTTTACACGAGAGCATGCTATGGAAGCTCTGTTGAACACCAGTACCATGGAACAAGCCACAGAGTATCTTCTGACACATCCTCCACCCCTTATGGGTGGGGTTGTAAGGGTGAGGCAATCTAGCAGTTTAAGATTATTTGACTTAGAAATTTCTTGGCTTCCTTTATTCTAGATTATTCATTCCCAACCTTTATTCTTTTGAAAACTGCATTGCTTTGGAATTGGGGGGTCCACATGTTAGTGCTGAATGGGCCTTAAGCCACACGCAAGCAGAGCCAAAAAGGGTGGGACAGATCATATTTTCTCCTTTTGATGTATCTTGTTTTGCTTTGTATTTTTTTTCTTTTCATTTTTATCACAACAGTTAATCCAGATTGCTCTTCCCAGAGTCTGAATTGATTGTGTAGACATCAGGGTAGTGGCATGAGTTGCTCTAGTCCCATTCTAGATATTGATGAAATATTGGACACTTTCACTCCCCAATCCTAAAAGATGAAATATGCAATCATCACTTAATTAATTACTATAATTTTGATGCTTGTAGCTTAGAAAATCTTTTTTGATGAGTGTATAGAAAAGAGAGCTCTATTCCCATTTGAATGTTATAATTTTAGTTAATACATGAATTTGTAACTACAAATTTAGTTACAAATTCAGTTAATACAACTGTCTAGTTTCCTTTAGGCTGCAGTTTAAGTTGGATTCCAGTAACCAATCACTAATATTCCAGATCTGTTTGTGGGTTGTCTGGCAGGATCTCAGCATGTCTGAAGAAGATCAGATGATGAGGGCCATTGCTATGTCCCTGGGACAAGACATCCCCATGGACCAAAGGGCTGAATCCCCAGAGGTAAAAAAAATAAATAAATTGCCCTTTATATTGTGATTCAGAGTGCTGGATTGAAAAAAAACACATTGTTCACGTTTAGAAGAAAAATCAAGCTATGACAATGTTTCTGAGAGTGTTGGAGGCATCTACACTGCCATTTTCCCTACCGAAAGGCTTTCCACCAACATCTTTTAATGATCTGCCATGTAGGGGAGATAAAGAAGGCAGTTTTTATGCTATAAATGCCAAAAAAAATCCCTTTTTTTAAAACCAGTGGTATATAAGCAGATAAAGTAAGTATAAAATAGCTTTTTCTTTCTTTCTTTCTAGGAAGCTGCTTGTCGGAAAGAAGAAGAAGAACGGAAGGCTCGAGAGAAACAGGAGGAAGAAGAAGCCAAGTGTCTAGAGAAGTTCCAGGATGCAGAACCTCTTGAGCAAGAAGAGTTGCACAACTTCACTGACACTATGCTACCTGGCTGCTTTCACCTGCTGGATGAGCTCCCAGATACAGTGTACCGTGTCTGTGACCTCATTATGACTGCCATCAAACGTAACGGAGCTGATTATAGAGATATGATCCTCAAACAAGTTGTGAATCAGGTAGATTAACTTTTTATGCTTAGAAAGCATCGCCTCCGTGTTTTCTTAAGATGCTTTAGGTGAAAAAAAAGATACCTTTCCAGGAGCTTTTGATTCTAGTTGGTTACATCTTTAGCCAAAACCATACCCATACCTTAGGCCTAATGAGGATTGTATCTCATAACCTTTTGAGAATCTGGATCAGACTGTTTTAGTTTCTCTGCATACTAGATCAAAGAAATACAATAAGCTATAAACATTGAATTGAATTGCAGTTTATATTTGAGATCTTACACGGCAAGTGATCCAGGTGCCGCCTTTATTTGCAGTTTTATTGTACATGTTTGTGGAATATTTGATGGGGGTGTTGTCTCTGTATGTTTATATATTTTACTTATTTATTGGTTAAGCATTTTTTTCAAGGCCTAAAGATTCATAGTTGTTAAGCTAAACAAACATCCACCACTTTTATATGATTTTTGGAGCAATAAGGGTGTAAAGATTTATATTCAGGAAAAGTTAATTCAATGATAAGTAGCACAAACGTTTCACATGTATGTAGTTGATGGCAAACCAAAGTGCATGTTTGTTAAATGCAATGGTTATAAACACAATACTTATCTTTCACAAATAGCAAAAAAAATTACCTACTTCTATTTTGGGAAACATTTAAAATAATGCTCAGACTGAAATAAAAACACTAGAAGATCCAAGGTGAAATATCTAATAATCATGCAGTTCTGGGTACTGTATAAATTGAAAAGTAATTTCATTAATAAAACAAGAACATAGATTATAAAGGACCCAGGTATGATCCTGCTGGTTGGCTTCTTAATGCCACTGAGAACTTATTTTTTCTTTTGGCAGGTGTGGGAAGCTGCTGATGTGCTCATCAAGGCAGCTCTGCCCCTCACTACAAGTGATACAAAGACTGTCTCTGAATGGATTAGCCAGATGGCTACCCTACCTCAGGCCTCCAATCTGGCCACGCGTATCCTGCTATTAACTTTACTATTTGAGGTGAGACTAATGTCTATGGTTTGAGCTCAGGAAAGAAACTTTAAGGGGGTGCCAGCATTACAGCAAGTGTAATGTAAGAGCCAAGACATTTTTCCACTTTGGATCCAGTAACTGTCTTTCACTTCTTTCTTGGAAAGATTGGGTGGGAAGTGGGAGGGTGGGCAAAATACATCATTTAACAGTTTACATGTTCCATTATAGACAGTAGCTTGAGATATGTGTGCGTGCATCTGTGGGCACATGGGTAATTGTCTTCTTGTTGTTTCATTGGTCTACTTTTCATTCCAAAATTTAAAGTATAGATGGGATTAGAGCGACCACTTAATTTGGTATGTTTTTATTTGTTAGTGGCTTTATTCACCCAACACCATCTTTTTCAATACTGAATGTCACAGTGAAGAATCCTGCAATACCAGCTCTTCAGCTTCTTGTGGATAGAATATGGAGTTTACTCTAAACTTCTGTAATAACTATTAAGTTAATTCCTTTGCAAAGAAAAGGTCAATTTTGGACCAGGATGCCTTTAATTTATTTAAGATTATATCTAGAATTTTATTTATTACAACAGAGATAGGCAGCTTGTATCCTCCAGGTATTTTGGCCTGCAGCTATCATTGACCTACCATCATGGTGAAAAAGATGGATGGTAGTTGAATTCCAAAATACCTGATGACATCGCTTGCCCATTTAAAGCATATGTAAGCAATTCCTTTTTAATTCAGGTAGATGGCAGCATTCTCTATAGAAGAGTAATTGCTTGGTCGTATGAAAGTTCCACTCCTTATTTAAGTGTTCAGGTTACTATATTTAGTACTTTAGTGAACATTTTCAGGAAAAAAATTAACAAATGCAAAGGAAGAGAAAAAAGAGCTGTAGACTGCATTCCATGTCAATTTAATTAGATGAGTGTCTATGGAGATTTTCAGTCATCCATGTCATGGTTGTCCCATAAGTGCTTTTTCAAGAGACAACTGGACTTTCTGGTTTTTCTTTGAAGACATTTCACTTCTCAACTGAAGAAACTTCTTGGATGAGAAGCAAAACATCTGGATTAATTCAATGAATTTATCTCTCCCCCCCTCCCCTCCCTCCGGCATATGAAATAAAGGCCTGTGCAGTAAAGCGGATGTTAAGTTTTAGGCTACACATCTTGAATTCCTTTTTGTTGTTGTCTATATTGTAATTGAAAGCTTTTTTTTTTAATTCAGTGGTGAACCCTTTATCTAGACTACTTCCTTTCAATTGCATGGGTGCTGATCTTTTCCCTTTTAACTGCCAACAGGAGTTGAAGTTGCCATGTGCTCGTGTCGTGGAATCAAGTGGCATTCTCAATGTTTTGATAAAACTGTTGGAAGTGGTACAACCTTGCCTACAAGCTGCCAAGGAACAGAAGGAAGTGCAGACACCAAAGTAAGTAACAAGTAAAGGACTGGAGTTGGAAATCCCTAACCTAGTTTCAACTTTCCAAATTTATGCTGTACTGAGGCTTTTGCTTCAGCCTTTTTTGTTTGTGCTTTGAAAATGGATTTCAGTTTGATAATTGTATTTGTGATGATGTAGTAAACATACGATGCATTTACTAACCAGGACTGGTGTAGGTTCTGCCTGTTGTTAGCTCTTTGGAGTTCCATGCTTTTCAACCTAGCTGGGCTAAAAGTTGGAAAGGCCAGAAAGCCTTGATAATATTGTTATTTTGGCAGGGTTACAATCTTAAATGGGCTGCAGCGTCTTTGTCTGAATCAGATCTACTTAATGAGATTGTTTTTGAATGCACTTGCAAAGAAAGTCAGAATATAAATTAAAAAATAATTTGCTGCCTTTCCTGGCCTTATCAAATTTCTCCTATAGGTGGATCACCCCAGTATTGCTGTTAATTGACTTCTATGAGAAAACAGCTATCTCCTCCAAGAGAAGAGCCCAAATGAACAAGGTATGAATCCAGAGAGAAGGTGCAAGTTCTTGTTGGGGAAAAAAATCTGGCTGTTGAACTGGTTCAAAACATTTAGACTACATAAACATTTATGCTAATTTCCCCCAGTGTACTGCTAGAAGAGAATATTAGTAGCTCAAAGTTGAACTGTGTGGTTTTCCCAGAGTAAATGCTATGATAAGACTATGCTAATATTTCAGCGGACAAAATATAGTTTTAAGCCTCTTCACTAAAATTTAATGCATATGTATCATTCTAGATCCACTATCTTTAAAAACCAAATGTCTCTTTATGTATCAACTCTGCAACTCACCAAGTGTTATTCATGCATTCACAGTGAATTCCCCCAGGTGCCAAAAAAAATTGTATTAATATGTAACATTTATTCAGTTGGCAGCCTGTCCTTCCAATTCAAGATTTTTTAAGATTAGTAAGACTAATTACACCCCACTCCTTGCTCCTCATATCTTCTTCACTATTGTAGAGTCGAAAAATAAAACTTGGGAGTCTCTTTATGGGCAGGTGTGCATACATAGCTTAATTCTTTTTCTTTATATCTCTTCTACTGCTGAAATGTATAACTGGACCCAATTTTTAATAGAGAAGAATATTTAAAGGACACAAAATAAATTTACGTTACACTTTTGGTTATAGAGGTGGTTGAAGAAGGTATTTAGAAAAAGGTTGGTGGATGCTACTTCCAAAGCCATGCAGAATAAGGCACAGACACAATTGCCACGTGGAGGGATGTGTGAATGTGGGTTGTAAAATTTAAAGGACACCTTTATCATATTGATGACAGCTTCCATATTTGTGTTGTGTGAAGTGATGTGAAAAGGTAGAGTACCTCTGAACATACACTGCATACTTTTCATTGGTACTAAATGAATGTATCCATTTGGGAAAATATAAAGGTGTGTATGTGATAGCACTAAAACGTACAGGCTGCATCTCTTGTAGTACTTGCATTAGAGGTTTAAGAAGCTAATTGGCTTTCTTAAAATTAACATATCAACAAGGATTTTTTCCTAGTTTTATATTAGATACATTTTATTTTGATCAGTAATCACAACAGTACCTAGTTTTGCAAATAAAGGCAGAGTTGTTTTTTTTCTGTGTTGGTTCCATTTGTTTTACATCATCCACCGTTTTCCATCATGTTTTCAATCTGAAACACTGCCTTGCCTTATGTCCTCTTTGTACCTCACATTCAGTCCAAAGTCTTTATCATTAAGTTAGAATTAGCTTTTTTTGCTGGGGGAAGGCTGAATAGTGTGTAGTTTTAGAGGTATACTTCACGTAGGAATCTGGAGTAAGCTGCCTGGCATACAATGCATGATAAAGACGCAGTATCCAACCTCAGATTCGAAACATGTTCCTAACAGTATATGCATTCCATTGCCACTCCAATTATTAAATTAAAACTTGCATGAAATCAGTTGTCTCATGTATGAAGACTTAACTTGCTTCGTAGAAGGGTTACTCTTATTCTTTCAAGCATACAACTGCTGTTGTAATCTCCCAGGACTTGTTTTGAGCAGGTATGCCTAGGAATTATAGTGTAGGGTACATCTAATAGCCATTTTTTTCCCCTCCAGTACCTTCAGGCTAATGGCAACAACTGGCGATGGTTTGATGATCGTTCGGGCCGATGGTGTAGCTATAGCGCAAGTAATAATAGCACTATTGACACAGCTTGGAAAGCGGGAGAGACTAGCGTCCGTTTCACTGCTGGCCGACGGCGCTACACAGTGCAGTTCACCACCATGGTGCAGGTATAAACTTCCCACTCTCTGTTCAGATGTTTGGTTTGGGATAAACAGGTGGGTTGATTCTAACCTCCTGGTGTGTTCCCTGGTTGCAAAGGTGAATGAAGAAACTGGAAACAGGAGGCCAGTAATGCTGACTTTGCTCAGGGTTCCCCGACTTGGCAAGACCGTGAAGGAAAACAACGGACAAGAGCTGGAGAGAACGTTGGAGGAAGGGAAAGAAATGGAAAGCAAGGTTAAGGAGGAGAAGACAAACGGTACTACATGCATATTCTTAGGTCTGGTTTTTACCCCAAACCACAGATTGAACTTTCTCACTCACATCCATCTCTTTTTCTAACCCCATCAGATAGCCCCGTGCCTGCTGATGGCCTAGCCCCGGAGAAAGAAACACCGCCAGAAGAGGTGAAACCCTCAGAGATCTTAATCCAAGGCCTGACAGAGGAGATGGTGACAGTCTTGATCCGGGCCTGTGTGAGCATGTTGGGTGTGCCTGTGGAGCCAGACACTCTGCACGCCACCCTGCGCCTCTGTCTGCGTCTCACCCGCCACCACAAATATGCCATGATGTTTGCTGAACTCAAGAGCACGCGCATGATCCTGGGCTTGACCCAGAGCTCTGGTTTCAACGGCTTCACCCCTCTTGTCACCCTGCTTTTCCGACACATCATAGAGGATCCCTGCACACTGCATCACACTATGGAAAAGGTACAGTTGGCCTTGCGCTACCTACGCAAGGGAAGAAGCGGAGTCATAAATTGAGATTGCTTTCCTGGATAATTTGTATGTGGGTAGTTCTCGACTTACAGCCATTCATTCAGTGACCATTCAAAATTATGACAGTGTTGAAAAAATGGACTTGCAACCCATGCCCAAAGTAATGTCTATTGCACAACTCTTGTCACATAATCAAAGTTTAGGTGCTTGGCTTCCCACCACAGGGGCGCCTCTGAGCCAAGGTGGCGCAGTGGTTAGGGTGCAGTACTGCAGGCCACTTCAGCTGACTGTTATCTGCAGTTCAATATTAGCAATA